CCCCAAAACCCCAAAACCCCATTACATACTGATTAAATTGCTCGAGTATAATATATTTATGAAATTAAAGTCTTAATATCTTAAACGAGTAAAATTTTATGTAATTATAAAGAATCAGTCACTTTCGTTAATATAGATATAGTTTTATGATCTATGAGAGCTAGGAAGATTGAACTGTACTATGCTCTTTATGGATTAGTTATGCTTACTATTTTCCCTCTTATGAGTCATAATACTTTTTTTCTGGCTATGACTAGTCATCCCATTATCTTTTTCATGTGATTACTATGGATAGTATAGAGAGGTGAGGCTTTGCTACGACTTATTAACTTAATCACTGATTGTCGATTGATACATTGGGCCTTATGAAAGACTTTGATTAGAAGTATTAATGTATTAATTAGCTCCACCAACTGTACTTGCTCTAGTGTGTATAGACATCTAGTTAGTGGTTTTGATTGTATTTGGCATTGGTTTCTCCTTATATATTTCACTTAATGGCAATACTTTTCCAAAAGAGCTATCATGCCTTTAATTGTTTCTTTCTTAGAGTCTAATGTTTTCAAATTACACTTAAGTACGCACAGTCTCATTTGAACCGTCCCTCATAGGCACAATATCAGATGTTCTTTCTCTGTAGTAAGAACATTCCTCACATTTGCAAAATTATGTATACTTAACACAGTAAGTTAAACTTTTAGGAGCTCTTGGGAAAGATTTTAAAAGTGTTGCTTGCTTTATGAATTTTCTCCAAGCCTTGAATAAAGTTTTTAATTTAAATAGCTTTCTAAGTTGCCTGATACTTCTTCTATTTTTCTTTATTAACTTTAGCTTTTTAATGGCATCTTTCCAACCTTTCATCATTATTCTTTATTTTAAACGCCTTTCATGAAAGGCTCTAGCAAGTTTCAGGTCATCCTCATAGTTATACTTCAATTAACCAAATGCCTTGTTAATTAATCGTTGGCTGTTTAATTATTCCCCCACTTCAGTATCTAAAACAGTATCATTTGCATCTTTTCCAATGAAATTTAGGTCATTGTATATTTTTGAAGCAAGTAAGAGATTTGGTTATCTAAATTTATGAGGATACTTCCTTTATTCAAATCTTAGTTTTAGTTCTTCTAAGCTTAATTCAGAAAGAGGGACGAAATCTCTATTTAAATTTAAGCCATGCATTAGCGGTAAATTTTCCTGCAAGGAGAGTTAGCTTTGATTATTAATCATGTTCGCAGTTTTAGAGTTACTACTACTTTATCTATTTTTCGAGCTGGGTCTATAGTTATTTTAATGAAGAGGCCCTTATCTCAATGAGTTAACATAAGGCTTTTATTTATTGTTTGCCTCACGGTCTTTGTAGTCAATTTTAAAATTCATATTTTCTTTAGTTAATTTATAAACAATTAACTCTATTTTTCCCATACACTTTAATACCTTCTAAAACTACTTCCGGGGTTTTGGGGTTTTGGGG